CAAATCTCCACCTTGGATCTAACTATATAACATCAAGAAAATAAACTAGCTTTCTTCATGCAGCTTTATCAACTACATACAGTGGAAAAATTTGCAACTGGGCAACGTCTTGGTGATCATATCAGCAACATTATGATCTGTCAAAACCTTCAGCACTTGGATTTCTCCATGCTCGATTACTCCTCTGACGAAATGCAGCCTCACATCAATGTGCTTGGTTCGCTCATGATAGGATGAATTCTTCGACAGGTGTATTGCACTTTGATTGTCACATTTAATAGTGATAACTTGACCTTGAAGTTTCCGCTCCTTTCAAAACCTTCAAGCCACAATGCTTCCTTCACAGGTTCAGTTAGAGAAATATATTCCTCTTTAGTGGTTGATAAGGCAACGACCTTCTGAAGTGTTGCTTTCCAACTGATTGTTGTCCCAAACATAGTGAACACATATCCAGTCATAGATTTTCTGGAATCCATACAACCTGCATAATCATAGTCGACATATCCTTCGATTATCGCGTTACTATCTTCACCCAAGCTCCACCATAAATTAGGACTCTATTCAGAGACACATTTATGTACCTTAGAATCCACTTCAATGCTTTCCAGTTAGCTTTTCTAGGATTCGTCATGTACCTACTTACAAGACTTACTGCATATGCTATGTCGGGTCTAGTACAAACCATAACATACATCAAAGAACCCACTATATTAGAATATGGAATTCTATTTATATATGTTCTTTCAACATCAGTGATGGGACACTGATCTATACTCAGCTTGAATTGAGGGTTTGTCGGAGTCACAACAGGCTTTGAATTTGACATACCAAACTTTTCGAAAATCTTCCATAGGTATGCCTCTTGAGATAAGCATAATTTCGACTGCTTTCTATCTCTTCGGATGTCAATCCCAAGAATCCTGGACATAGCTCCCAAATCCTTCATGTCGAACTCCTTATTGAGTTCATCCTTCACCCTCATTACATCTTCTACATTGTTGCTTACTATTAGAATATCATCCATATAAAGCAACAAAATAACAAATGAATTACCAGGTCAAAATCTGAAGTAAACACAGTGGTTGAACTGACTTCTGATGAAACTTATGCGTACCATAAACTTGTCGAATCTCCTATTCCACTATCGAGCAGATTTTTCAGTCCATATAAAGATCTCTTCAGTTTGCACACATAATCTTCCTCCCCCCTTTCGACATACCCTTCAGGTTGCCTTATCGGGATTGTTTCATCTAAATCACCATACAAGAACGCAATCTTCACATCCATCTGTTCCAGTTCAAGTTAGAATTGTGCCACTGTGACAAGCAACATTCAAATGGATTTGTGCTTCACAACAAGAGAGAACACATCATTGAAGTCAACACCTTCTTTCTGAGTGAACCCCCTAGCGACCAATCTTACCTTGTATCTCTTCGACGCCACTCCTTTGATGTTTTCCTTAACTTTGAAAATCCATTTACAACCGACTAACCTGGATCCAGCAGGTTTCTTGATCAGTTATCAGGTGTTGTTATCATGAAGAGATTTCATCTCATCATCCATGGCCTTTAGCCATTCAGTCTTCTTTCGACTCCTCAAAACTTCCTTATAGTCTCTAGGTTCTTCGTCTAGAACCTCAGTTGCAGAGATTAAGGCATAAACTATAAGATCTACATACCCAAGTCTCTGAGGTGGCTTGATGACTCTCCTCGACCTATCTCTTGCTAGCAGGTAGTCATTATCAGTCTCTTCGACAACATCTTCTTCGACTTCAATTGGGGTACGCAATTCAGCATCAACATGCTCCACCTCAATAGGAATCTCTCCCTATTCCAGCTCTTCGTCAGCATCATCAGTTTTCTTGAAAGTCATCTCTACTTCATTGAAAACTACATCTCGACTAGTGATACACCTCCTATGACCTGGCTCTAGGCACCATAGTCAATAAGCTTTGACTCCTTCAGGGTATCCCATGAACATGCATTTCAGAGCTCTAGGTTTGACCTTGTCTTGCCTAATATGAGCATAGGCCACACAACCAAATACTCTCAGTCTGTCGAGACTAGGTGGATGTCCCGACCAAACTTCTTCAGGCGTCTTCATTCACAAGGCAGTCGAGGGACATCTATTTATTAGATAAGCTGATGTCGAAACAGCCTTCGCCCAAAACACCTTCTTTAATCCAGCACTAACCAACATGCATATAACCCTTTCAAGGATTGTTTGACTGAATCTCTCAGCTAAGCCATTTTGTTGAGGAGTACTTGCTACAGTCTTATGCCTTGCAATCCCATACTCAACACAACAATGGTCGAACGCTTCATTGCAGAACTCAAGGCCACTGTCGGCTCTCAACCTCTTAACCTTTCTGCCAGTTTGAGTTTCGACCAGAATCTTCCAACTTTTGAAATTCTCAAAACTTTCATCCTTCGTCTTCTGGATGAATACCCATAGCTTTATGGAATAGTCATGAACGATGGATAGAAAATACCTTGCACCTGAGTGTGAAGGATTCCTTGCAGGCCCCCAAAGATCAGCATGAATGTAATCCAGGGATCCATGTGTTCTTTACTTGCCTTTGTTAAACTTCGCCCTACAGGATTTACCAAATACACAAGATTCACACAACTTTAACTTTTCAAATTTGTCACCTCCTAGCAGGTTCTGCTTTCCCAATTCGACCAGGCCTCTTTTGTTGACATGGTTCAATCTCATGTGCCATAATTTTGTCTTCGACACAGATTTCATGGAGGCAACATTTGTCGAACCACTTACAACCTCAGCCTCAAGGGTTTATACACAAGCCTTGTTTTTTCACGCCTCTCAAGACTTCCTTCGACCCCTTCTTGACTCTTAAGATACTTTTCTCTCCTTGAAAAACATATTCCTTCCTGTCAAATTCACCAAGAGAAATCAAATTTCTCTTCAAGTCAAGTACATACCTGACTTCAGTCAATGACCTTATTGACTCATTATGGAGCTTAAATCTCACAGATCCAATACCTGCAATTTTTCAAGATTTGTTGTTTCCCAACAGCACTGATCCACCATCTTGATCACATAGCTCCTCGAACAATTTTCTGTTTGGAGTCATGTGCCAAGTGCAGCCTGAATCCATAATACACTCTTTTCTTGAGTCGTCACTTGAAACCACCAGAACATCAGATGAGTCGAAGTCATCTTGAACAATGGTTGTGTTGCCATTACTTCCATGATCTTTCAGGCGTTTAGGGCACACCTTTCTTGTGTAGCCCTCCTTCTTACAGTGATAACATCGAATACCAGATGTTTCGCCACTATAAGACTTTTGTTGACTTTTACCTTTCTTCATGTCGAACATACCATCTTTTCGCAAGAATTTTCCCTTAACGGCCAAACATTTGTCTGCCGTTGAAGGTTTATGCTCCTTTCGTTCGTTTAAGTCCTTAGAATACAAGGCTGATTGAACTTCTTCAAAGCTCAGGGACTCCCTTCTATACAAGAGAGTTTCTTTGAAATGAGCATGTGTTATGGGAAAAGCACACAACAACAACAGTGCTTGATCTTCATCATCGATCTTCACATCAATATTTTCAAGGTCAAGAATCAGCTTTTTAAACATATCCAACTGCTCAGCCAACATTTTGTCTTCACTCATCTTGAATGAATACAAAACTTGCTTCAGGTAGAGTCGATTCACCAGAGATTTGGTCATGTACAAACTTTCAAGTTTCACCCATAATTCCGATGTTGTAGTCTCCTTTGATACCTGTCAAAGAACTTTATCACCAAGTCTCAACAATATTGCGTTGTGGTCTTTCTCAATCATGCCCGTCTTTTCTTTTGCCGTTAACGCAACGTCCATGGCTGCCTCTCCCTTCAACGCTTCCAAACAACCCTACTGAACTAGTAGGGCTTTCATCTTCAAGCGCCACAGGCCGAAGTCGTTCACTCCGGTAAACTTTTCAATCTCATACTTTATTGAAGTCATCTTCTCCACGCTCACCTCACCAATTTATTGTGAATCGGATGTCTTGAAACAAATTATAAACGGTTTCTTTATGATCAAGAAACACACAAAGGTTATGGTTAACAAAAAGAACAAGGTAAAACAACAAGGAACAATAAGGATTGGTTATAAACTGCTATTCTTTCTTTACTCTTAGAAACAAGATTGCAAGTATACAAGAATAACAAAATAACTTCTCTCTCTTGAAATTATGATTTTATCTTCCTATTTTTTCTTATGACAAAATGAGAGACTAGCGTGCTATTTATAATAAAATTAACACACTAACCTAATTGCCTTTTAACAATGACCCATTACAAGCTAACTTAAACAATTGAGCTTACAAGTAAGATTTAATTCAACATTCTAACAAACCTAGCAATATTGACTAATGCATGTTAGAACAAACTTCAACTACAACACGCATTACTCCAACAGTAGCATGCGAACAGATTTCGACTTCATGCTTAATTTCTATCGAACCAAAAGGTACCTTTCGACCATACTAGAGTTCGATCCAATATCTCACAGGTTTAATAAAAATCAGAGTAACCTCTTGTTAAGAATTTTTAGAGGTTAAGAATTTTTAGAGGTTGTTCGGAGGTTTGAAAAACTGGAAAGTATGAAATTAGAAAGAAGAACAAACTTGGTTGATTCATATTCCTATGTACAAAAGGATTCATCTAGAAAGAAAAAATCCTTTCAAAACAACTTAAAATTTAATTCTGAGAACGCTTGTAATTTGTCAGGTTTTGAAAGGCATCAAAAAGTTAAACCTAGTGTATGATAACATCATTGAAATAACAAGTAAAATGTCAGCACATAATTGGAAAGGCACTCTTCACAGCTATTTACAACAAAACACAGTAAACATGTTCAAAATATCTCTTTTCTTAACTTGGGTGGTCATACAAAACTTCTTTATTCTTCATGATTCTCTATGATCACTAGATTTAGACCCCCTAAATCGTCTCCATTCTCTCTATTTTTTTCTTAACTTCTTTATTCTTCATCATTCTCTCTCTATCTCTAAACGTATCAAGTGATCAGGCAAGAAAACTTTCAGACTAGGTGCCTTGGGAGAAATCTGAATGAGGTCCCCATCTTTAATGGCATAGTTGATATGAGAACCATCAATATATATCACACCTTCTCTACAAGCCCATGTACTGTTCATTGTTTCGTCCTGTTTAATGAATCCATGCATAGAGTCAGACACTGCCCCAGGCGAGATAGGTTCCCTTACCATGTACTGAAGACCCCGAGATAAAATGGGCATCGAAAATCCACCTGCCGAATGCATTGCAGCCGTTGAACCAGCAGCTGTTGAAACCCTTAGACCACTTGATCTACAGTTAACTAGTGGCGAAAATGGTTGATTTTCCTTTGTAATTCTGCAAACAAATATGCTTAATTGGCTTCTCTTTTGTTTGGGTGGTGGGAGACAGCATTAATTTTGGAGATGAAAAAAAGTAAAACCAAAAAGTGTGAATGCTCAATTATGTCTTTGAGAAAACCTGAGACCCAATTTGGTCCTTAAAAAAAATAGAAGTAACTTTTATTCCCGAGAATAAAATAACCGAGACAACAACTTGAATTTATTTTTCAGACTAAATTTAGTATCGCAGTTTTTCTCAAAGACTAAAATGCATTTTCACTTAAAAAAAAGGTACATGAATCAGAGTTTTGATATCTCACATGGAAGACATTACCTGAAGGAAAATCTAGAGATTGCAGCAGGACATGGATTTGCAACTAAGATATCATTGAGAGCATAAGTTGGAAGGTCTAGTGCATTTACAGATATCTTGATCCTTGTTAACTTGGAAGGAGCAATTCGATTTTCGAGTATACCATCTAGAACCTGAAAGATTTAAGAAAAAAATATCATACTGAAAAACATCTACTAAGCTCATGTTTACACTTGTTCAAGGTTTAACAGAAAGGATGAAATCATATGATGTAGCACTTGTTCATAGAGTTTTGATTGAAGAATTAAGAATTAATGGAAAGTTTCTTCCACCTGATGTTAAAAAAGGGGCTCCATGTAGACACACAAGTTAATTTAATTTTGTCTTTAGTATTCATACAAAACAAACATGAAGGGCGAAAAGATTTAAAGTTACACATCATGTGAACACTAACTCAGTGTAACAACACATTTATCCAAATTAAAAAGGCTTTCTCTTAAAAGTTATTGCCCCTTGTGAGGCCAGATTGGTATCAAATTATAAGTTAAGCAATGATTATAATTTTGACACATGCATCAAATTTTAGAGGCCAAAACAGTATATAGAATGGATTTTGAACACACATTTGTGTATAGTGGATATTGAACCCAATGGAGTAGCTTTTTCTAATCTCTCATTCATGATTAGAGAGAGCACTCTGAACCTCAAACCAGTCCTATCAACCTATCGTCATTCCAGGCTAAAATAGCGTTGACAAGTAGTTTTGGGTATAATAATTGTTTTCATTCCAACAGCACCATTAAATTTGAAGAAATCAAGTTTTCATTCAACAAAATGCAAGTCGCTACACCTGAACCTCAATGCATAGTAAGAAAGGAAAAATATAACATCTACAATTTCCTCTAAAGTTAGGAAGGAACTAATCTTACTTGTTCAAAGTTTTCAACAGTTGCAGCACAAAAATGACCAGTGCTTCTGGAAGCATCAAACTCACCACTGAATTTTTCCACCTATTACAAATAAAATATGAATTAATTCAAATGAGATGTCTAAACTCTGAAGCCAATATATCAATATTTAAAACAAAGATTGCATGTATATAAACCTCATCAATCGGAGTAGGATCTGAGTTCACTCCAAGAACAGGAATTTTGTCGTCCATTAAATGGCTGGCCATCAGAAGAGTTCCATCGCCACCAATTGCAACAACCAGGTCTACATCATTGATGGGCTGTGTCAAATTGTTTCCAAGCACTGCTTTCCATTCAACTGCCTTTTTCCGCAGAATTTCTTGACAAAAGTTAACTGATTCACTGTGCACCTTATGCCTATTATTCAAAAACTCTAAGACCTGCATTTCTTTAGCAGTATTAGAACTTCAAATTCAATTAAGGTTCAAGTTCTTGGATATTTGCCAAGAAACAAGTCGTATACAATATAACCATATCCATATAGACATTTTATCAAACAAGTTGCGTGCAAATAAGAAAGTGTGAAAAATAAATCAACCCCATAAAGCCATTATTGAGAAGTAGAAGAAGAATTACCAGAGGGTCAGTGTGGGAAGGTTGCGCTGATACAACAGAGGGTTTTAGAAGTAGTAACAGTCTCTTCATCGTCATTTTCTTTTGCTCTCTCAACTGAAACTGAAATTGAAATTGAAATTGAAATGATGATTCTAATGTGCAATAGTATATAGAATTCAGTTCATTAGTTAGTTAGAGTTTGTTATTAGGTAATTAGTTAGAGTTTGTTATAATTAGTTAGTGAGAGTTTGGTATTAGGTAATTAGTTACATTTTGTTATTAGTTAGTTAAAGTTTGTTAATTTCTTATAAACTCTTTATTTAAATTATCTCATGCAATTATTTTTTTTTTCAATGTAATTTAATAATAATTTTATAGATTTTTTTTATAAAACTCTCAAGTTTATTTTTCACGAAATCATTTTTCATCTCTTTGATTCGATGAAAATTTTGTTGATAATTATAATTCTGATCGATTAACAAAAATTTTGATTTTGCGACCATAAAAAAATAAAATTTGAATTCATTTTCGGTAATATTTTTCAAGAAACAAGTCTTGAAATGGAGCAGATGATTTTAACGGGTAATCAAGCTGCAAATTCATCAAAATTATAGAAATCCATTATTTTTTTTAATATTTGCAATTAAATTAGTAGTAAATAAGAAAATTCAAAAGTATCTTTACGATATTAATCTTTAACATTCTGATAACAACATCATCTCCACATTATGTCCATCATAAGGAGAAAGGTTGGAGGGAAGAAAATTCATGTGAATGTCACCTCTACTCACATGGATAATGTGTCATTCCATTATGAAACAAGTATTCAAAAGTGGGAATATGTTCTTCAAAGAAGGATTGCGGCTGAAAGAGAGCTAGGTGAAGAAGCTCTTGATTGCAAAGAAATTATGAGAGATGTTTGGCTACTGAAGACTGTTACTAATGATGGTCCTAACTATGAAAAACTGGTCAAAGAGTTTAGAAAAGCGTTTGATAGAGAAAAGTGTGCAAAGTTTTCATCTTCAACCTTTAATTGATTGGAAAAAAGCAAGGTTCTCTCTATTGGCAAGATTATGGCCAAGGAAAAGGGAATTGAGGAAGAAGAAGAAACTACAAATAAGGATGCAAATGAACATTTTGTTGAAGCATTGAAGCATAATGATTTTATGGAGCATGTTATCCTAAGTTTTTGGAGGAGATTGTGGTTAAGAATGATGGTTTTCTTATTTAGTTGTTAAGTTTCAGTTATAAACGGCATGTTGGGTCAGACATCTCAGACATTATGTCCAACATTTGTTTACCAGGTGATGAATCTGATATGACTTTTGATGGAGAAGTCTTGGAACTATTTTACCTCAACCCATTGTTTATATATGATCTGACTACTTACTCTACTAACTATGTGGCGTGGAGCTGATTTATGTTGCTGAATTTGGTGGGAATGGTTCTACTTGATGTGTTGGGTACTAACTATTTAGGTTTTGTGAGTGCAAACATGCTAAAGCATTTGGCCTGACATATGGACCCCAACTATGTGTGTTAATCATTGTGTTAGTAATATTTGCTATTGATTATGACTTAACTGCTAACTGTGTGTTCATGCATGACTGCTATGGAGAATTGACTATTGTATAGAGAAACATGTGTCTTCTGACTTATTGATTTGTGCTGATTCTTCTCCGATTGCTGGTCTGATTGGCTTCTGATCTGGATTCTGAAGTCACTCTCGATGATAATAGGATCACCACTCATCGTAATAAAAATGCGATAAAAATTTGAGTAAAAGCTAAGATGATGAGAATATACCTTGAAATAGGAAGGCAAAGGCTCTAAAATGAGAAAGAAAGCTGAAAATTTTGAAGCTTTAAAACATCAAATTTATGAATGCGCGACAATGGTTACTCTGGAAATTAAGCGCTCTCGAACAAGGGAAAAAATCTTAGAGACAAAGGGAAACCATATTTGTGGAAGAGATAATTTTTTTTCACATCCTCTCTCTATCTTTATATATGCAAAGGCAATCATACAAATCAGACCTAAAGTAGGAAATAATGACAAATCGACAGTCAAATTTTATCTGGGAAATACAACCTCACTTGAGTATACTCAAGTACATAGAAAGCTGCATCACATCACCCCATACCTTTTCAGATCACACATCACAGAAAAATGGCAAAAAATTTCAATGATGAAATTGCATTTGATGTTCACATTTGCATCACGATTTGGCAAAACAAAAGGGGCGCATGCCAGCCGATGCTGGGATAAACTCCTTTTTAAGGTCGTCCACTACTACTGAAAGACTCCCGCGACATCAAACATCCCCGAGGAGTCTTAGCAGCAACAGTTCCATTTTGGCCAAAGACCTGAGAACTACCGGCTTGTGTCGACCAAATCTGAGATCCACTGGTCTTCAACAACCAGAGGCTCTGCTCTAATACTCCTTGCCAGTCGAAGGCCCAATGGATGAGGCCCGTTAACTAGCCTACTCCACTAGGCTCGGGGTATAAATACCTTCAAAAAGGATTCTAAGGTACACAATATCTAAACTCCACTTTCACTATCACCAATCTTGAATCCTAATTGACTTGGTATTTAGAGTGTTAACCATGTAGATACCCCCTAGGCTCACCGTATCAGAGATAAAAACACTAGTTATCAACGTCGTATCAGTATCGATACCCTGGTTCAAGAAACAATATGATCACAACCTTTAATCCATTGTGCTGCATCCTCGAAGAGCATCGGAAGCTCCGTTCCACCATAGTTTCCATCATCATTTTTGAAGGCAAGATCATTTTACCGAAGAAGTCTCAATCTAGTTTCTTCAAACTTGAGACAAGGAAGAACATTCTCTAGTGTAGGGAAAAGGTTCTAGTGTAGGAGAGATGTTTTGACCTATTCATAATAATTAGTGAGAGCCATCAAAAATTGAATAAGCTGAATACAATTACAATGGGTCTAATATATTTTTGAAAGCAAAACTAGATAAGAGCCTATGGGGAAAGGTAATGAAGGAATGGTATCCAATTAATCCAAGACCTTCATTAGCCAACAAGATAGCACAAGTATTGGCCTCTCTGTATACGCATGAGAAATAAAAAAATTTATCTATCTAACGTATGCTTGACATTTGATCCATCTATTTCTTAGGCTCCAAGGAATGAAGTTTTACTTGTTGAATACTTTAACCACTAAAGTTGAATCTGTCTTCAGCCACGAGTTCTTCCGATGCTTGGATTTGGAAATTTCAATGGCCCTAAGAGCCCCATTCATCTCTAAAAAAATGCATTGTGAGGATCAAGATGTTCAGAGAATATATCCACCAAGGAAGTCACACTTATGAACAGATCACCACAAGCAGTTGTGACATTGGTGGCTGCAGAATAAGTATTTCCTTTAACCAGATTTGCCAAGGAAGGAGTCCAAAAGAACTCCTTGATTGATGAAGGTCAGGGAAGCCAGACATGCACATCAAAGATTTTTATAATTCTGAAATCATTCATGGAGCTCCTGAAAGATTTCTTGGTTGCAGCTCTTGATAAATCAACCTGGGCCTTGATGTTAGTAACAATGTTCCTCCAAGGGATTAATCTATCTTGGAATCTGGTCATGTTTCTGTAATTCTATATGTTATAGATAATGTTGATAATGGTAGCTTGTATCATCACCCTACACTGATGCATGCATTCCCTCTTAAGACTTTATCCCTAAGAATCACAACCCTAGATTCTGTAGAATGCATCAAATCCCAATGTAACGTGAGGTTTACTGCCTCATTAAAAGTTGACAGAGAACCGATATCCAAGCCACCCTTAAGAGTAGGTCTACAGACTTTACTCCATGCTACAATGACAACCTTTTTCTTGTTAATGTCTGCTGACCACATAAATTTTTTGAACTACACCACTATCTCTTTTAACAAAGATGAGGGCTAGGAGTAAGTGGTGATGGAATAGACCATTATGCTATGGATGACATACTTAATAAGTTAAGCTCTGCCTGCAAACGACAAAAGAACAACTTTCCTAGAGGCAATAAATGTGAAAGAGGTAGATGATAAAAATATTTATTTTGCCTGGACTAACTTTTTTTTAATAAGTCAACATGGAACTCTCCCTTCTTCTCCGACTGATTTTAGAGTTTTATTATGTATCTTAGCTAATAACAATTCAAGTGGTCTTACATATTTTAGTGATGTTGGTGATATTTTGTGTTGCTATTGATTCTCTTGGTTAGTTTACTATTAAAAAATTCGTTTTTGGTGATCGAATTAGTGACTGAAAAATTTCGGTCACTATAGTGATCGAATTAGCCATCAAAATTAGATATTTTGTTAGTAAAATTTTAAAAGTCATTAAATCGGTCATTAAATAAATTAGCCACTGAATTAGCGACTGATATTTTGTGACCAAAATTTTCAATCTCAAATAATCGTTTTTATATAAATTAATTCATAAAAAAATTCAGTGACCAAAATTTTGGTCACTAATTTTTTTGTGTTTTTTCATTATTAAGTTACTTCCCTCACAATTTTCTTCTTTTATTTATTTTTTAAATTTTTTAGACAGATTTTATATTTTTATTGTTTTAACAAATAAAACATATATTTATATAAATAATTAACTCATACAAGTTTATTAATTAGATAAAATATAATTTTAATAACAATTAATGTAAAAAAAAAATTTAAATAATATTTAAAAGTTCTATTTCATTAATAATATATACATTTCAAATGTAAATTATCCAACATAAACCAAATGATTTAGTGGGCACTCAAATGTCTCACAAAAGTGCATTAGTTTGATTCATGTTGACAAAACTTTTATTTTATGTTAAGGTCTTTAATTAATTGAAAATGGTCACTAAAATCGGTCATTAATTTTAGTTGCTAAAATCAGTTATTAATCTCGATCACTAAATTTGTCTCTAAAAATTAGCGACTAACAATTTTTCAACCGAAATTTAATATTCGCATTATTGATTGTTAAACATTATATTGACGGATTTATAAGTTTTTTCAATCTTTAATTCGATCATTAATCGCAAATTTTTAGCAATGATTGATGGTGGATTTTCTATAAGTGTTGCTT